ATCAATCATATATTTGACATAATCCTAATGTTGGGGATGCTAAATTATCACTGGTGTGATATTGGGAATGCCCATGCACCTCTGTCTTGATCATGAAACATACTTATGTTGAGGCATTGGTTTAGCTTACTATAAAAAATAAACTGAAGAAAAAGTTTGAAGAAAAGTCAATCAACAAATACTGCTTCTATTAGCACCTTCTCAATTAATGGAATTTCATGATTTCTACATGAAAATTGACTTCCCAACATGCAGATTTATTGCTCACATGACGCTTGTTAAGGTTTGATATTTTACCAATTGCCTTTGATTTCTTAAATTTTTCTTTAAGTCGTGCATAAAAGCCTCACTTTGCTACGGGACACATACAATTTTGATGAACAGAGCATGGCACTTTAACAAGAACTTCACATATAAAAAGTAACACCAAGGTGTAACGTGGACAATTACCCTCCAACTATCACCATTTAAATGCAATAGCTCTGTCCCCTATTCATATCTCCCATGGCTGCCAATTTTTAGAAATTTTAATCGGATCAACAGTGTCCCACTAACTAGACAACATAGTGGGGTGTTTACCCACTCTCCCTTTGTGCATAAGGATGGAGGTTTCCCATCTGCTAATTCCAGGCATGGCTGGCAAAGGAGACTCTCCCTCTGGGACTGTGCTAACACTGGGGAGAGGATAGAAATCTTGGACCTGCTTTTTACGTGTCTTCAGTTTTGCCACTCTAGCTCTTGCTTCCATTATACGCTCATTTGTCTCCTGGAGTATCTTTGTGTCAAGAGTTGTGCGAGCCATGGTCGATTCAGTTTGACGCATCAACTTTCTGTGTTCAAGGTACTTATCAACCAATTCTTGTTTGTTTCTCTCTTGTTCCTTTGTAGTGTGAACAGCTTCTGCATTCTCAGTCAGTGTGTCTTCTTTCTTGGCTTGTCTGTCATGCCTCATCAGAGCATTGGAAACAGAGGTGTGTTGTGTGTTAAAATCTGAGACAAAAGTAAGCTCAGCATTTCTTCCTTTTGAAAACGTGGTCGTCTTATTCCGCCTTTCATGTGTTTTGTCGATATAATTGAGATATTGCAACTCCCTCCTTTCCATCAACTCAATCATTTTCATGTGGTCTTTTTCTCTCTGTTTTAAAGCATTAGCTCTTTTTTCCTCGTGATACATGCGCACGCGCTCCTTGGCATGTTCTTTAGTCTCCCGCATGCTCAAGATGTTTTCCATTTTAAGTGCCATTTTTTCTGCACGCTCCCGATCTTTGTATGCCTGTTGTACTGCATGTAAACAAGACAAACCCATAGTGCCTTGCATTCTCATGAAGCCATGCCTGTCTTTATTTATAGTTTGTCTGGGCGTAACCTTGGGTCTGGGCATATTATCTAGCTGCTTGTGAATATCTGCTTCTCCTACTCGTACATCTCTTCCTGCTTCCTTACGAGATAAGATGACCTCAGCCAGTGGATCTACTTCATGGATTTTCTGAGGCAGGCCTCTCAAACGGAAAGCTGTCACTGGTATTTCTTCTTCCTCCTCCTCTTCCTTCACCGGAGGTTCAGGTGTGACTGTCGACTGAACAACTGGTCCAAAGAACTGTTTAACAGACTTCACCACTTTCTTAGGTTTTTCGTCGTCTTCTTTCTTTTTACGTTTCTTTTTCTTTAAATCGGTCTCTGATCTGACCATCCCCAGCTGTGTGCCGTCTCTTGCTGATAAAATGACTTCAACAGCAGTGGTTTCATCTTGGAGGTTCTGAAGAGTTCCTGACTGCAGTTTTGATAGGTTGATGTGGAGGCTTCTTTTCTTTTTACTTGCACTGGATGAGCCTTCTGATCTTTTCTCAACAATGGCTGGCTCAGGTGATGTGGGTTTCTGTAGAATACAATGGGAAACCGGTTGATTAACTTGGTTTCAACTGATGTTTAAATCTTATAAGATTGTATATAAAAAACTTGAAAATGAAAAAGCCCTCTTAGTCACCTTTACCCAATGGAAACAGAAATTACACATCAGAGTATAAAGCTTACTTCAACTCCATGAAACTGATAAATCAATATCCATATAAAAGACAGTTACCACTGAATTCACAACCAGAGTTAACATAATATTAGACATGCTCTACCACAATAGTTCTGCATTGTTGAAGAAATTTGGCATTTAACCTCTGATCATTCAGCTTATGAAAATGAGAAATAAATATTTCATCACAACATTACCTGTGCTGCTGCCACAGCTGTGATTTCACTGAGAGCTGTGGTGGAGCCAGGTCTCCTGTTCTTCATGTACTCATCATACTCCACCCTTATCTCCACAGACTGCGGCCTGCTGGGAGGTATGGAAGCACTTGGAGGTTTATCAAAGATGGGGGAAGGAGAAGGTGGAGGGGGAAGGCGATGGCTCTCTTTAGAGTATTGTGGAAGTCCCTTGTAGTTCCTGTAGAAACGTTGGATTGAGACTGCTCCCCTAAAATGACATGATCAGCATATGTTTTCATCCAGTCTGTTATATAACTTGACCTGGTTAAGAATTATGTTTTTTAAGATTTTATAGCAAAATTATTGACATTCAACTGGAGCTCAAACTTTGACACGCACATGCTCGATTTGTACTGTAACTGTGACAACTGAGTTGTGTGCCTTGTTTAAATCAATAGATAATCTTAACATCAAAAATTCACCAGTCCTTACCATACTCTCGTGTCCTGTATCAGCCTGTATCTCTTTCTGGTGAGATATCCCCTGATCATCTTCTGTGCAATCAACACTGGGGAGTAATGGGCAAGAATCCTGTTCAGATCTGACAGGAGGCTTTTTATTGATGCCACTTCATCTCTATATGAGCTATCCTGTTACAAAAAAATAAAACAAAAAGACTTAGTTCCTCTAAAATAATAATTGGGTTAGATTTGATAAATTTCATCGAAGTAATAATATTCAAATACTAGAAAGTATCAATTTCAAACATTAAATTTATGAAATATGAAAAATTTGTGTAATGTTGCCAATCTACATGAAATAAAGCATTTAGTTTCAACGTAATTAAAGAGTTAATTTAGCATGCCTTAACATGTGAGTTAAACTCTACAATTACCTTTGCCAGTGGCCTCCACAGGTCAATCCTGAATGCAGGAGACATGCTTGCAAACCTCCCACCAAACACTGCATCTTCAATAATCTCTTCATCAGAAATCACATAATAATCCAATGCCTTCAGGTTCCACAGGCTGTTGACTACGTGATGTCGGTAGTTCTTCTTCAGGCTGAGAGGGGTGTCATAGAGTGTAAGGGCTTGTAGGTTTGGACAGCCTGCTAGGTGCTGCAGGTTGTCTATCCTGCCAATAGGGTTATCATGAAGATACAGCAGCTTCAGTTTGCGGAGACAGGACCAGAATGCACTACCAGGCAGTGTGCTAAGCTTTATACATATAAAAAAACAACTTGTTAAACATAGAAGTGGGATATGGAAGTTTTATGATTAAAATATTATTTGAGCTATTTATTTATAAAAATATTCATGTGTATTCTTATTCATTTGAAAATTAATTTGTAATGAAATTTATCATAAATTAGTGTTACTCTCACTGTTAATTAACTCAAGTCTGAGAAATTCATTCACCATGGCACCTGCAAGCCAGTAGTATAACATATTATTGACATATCACTGCCTCTGATTAGAGAACTTCTCAAGAAATAATTCAGGTATCAAACTAATGAGCCTCTTCTGTCAAATTCTATTTTAATAAACAAGAGAATTCAGGATGTTGATATAAATTCAAATGTTTTAGTTTACCTGATTATTGTGCAAGTCCAGTTTAATGAGTTCCTTACATGCTGCTAAATCTTCAAGTTTATGAATGAAATTTGAGTTCAAAACCAGAACTCTAAGTCTTGTGCATTGTCCAATATCTCCTAAACTTCTTAAATGCAGGCCAGGTAGTTTGATATACTTGATTCTGACTAGTTTTTTATTCTCCTCTTTATCCTGTTTATCACAAAATGTTTGCAGTAGAAATGTTTTGTTGGGAACAAAAAAATATCCATGTTCCTCTGCTTCTCTTATTGCCTCTCTCTCTCGCTGAAGCTGATATTTTGATGTTTGAACTACTTTAGGGGCCACTTCCCCCATCCGAGAGAAGCGAGACCAGTCCGGGATGCTAACCATGATGAGTTCTGTTTTTTTTTAAGTGATTTGATCTACAAATAGATTAAACAATTATCAATAAAGAAATCAAACAAGATGTAACAGTATTTGCCTCAGTTTTCGGCCTTACATGCTGTGGGTACCCTTACCTTACCAGCTCTAGGTATACCTGGCGTGTGTGGCTGAAAACTGAGACAATAATTGTATGGGCATTTTTTTTTTTGCAAATTGTTAGCTGCTTCTCCGACCCTTGATTGAATCATACAAGTTATTGCAATGATTTGAGTTATCATTTAACAATCCACAGACACTTTAGTATATCTTTAAAAAAATGCACAAAATGCAGAAACAAATATTTGCCTATGCCATCGGTCTTACTGGAATTATGATACATACAGTAATGAAAAAAAAAAACCTGAGGCAAGCAGCTATTAGTTAGCAAAGACTACTGAAGCCATTTAAGAAAACAGCTGAAAGTGGAAATGATTAAAATATTTCGCCATTTTAATCATGTAGTTGTTGTAGTTGTATCAATGGTTGCTTACATCTAAAATTAAGTTTTCTGCATTATGAAACTTACTTTTTCTTCACATGTCCTTTCTGGAAAGGTTTCTGTCCGCCATATTGTAAACCATGTATGTTGTCATTGGTAACACAAGATGGACTATTGTTTTGTTGTGAGCAGTATCATTACAATCATACCGTAAGGATTTTACAACAAATTTTAGTTTAATTGCTTTCAAAAATATAGATTTCATTTTATGGAAGCAGAAAATGAGACAAACCGTGCATCACCAGTTGAGTATTAGGCTATCTTGTAACGCCACCTAGCCCATTTCGTAAAAAATGGCGGCGCCCATGAAATGACATTCTTAGGATTAAGTCTTACTAAATCCCAATTTCGTACTAGTTACAGGCGTGCACGCTTGCTGCAACAAACAATGACAAATACAGGGTGGATTTCCTGTAAATCAAGTGAAGTAAAGCTTGATATTACCCTTGCATGTGGCCAGTCGTTTAGGTAATTTACCTTTCAAACCTACTCTAGACTAGTACTGCTCTAGCTCAACCTTATTTAGCACCCTCTGTATGCACAGTACATCAGCTTGATGACTAAGAGTGAGAACCCTGGGTGCTGATCCGCATGATTTCTCTTAAACACACATTCTTGGGGTTGTTTTGAAGAAGAATTTCTTTATATTAATCAACAGGACAGAATTAATTAAGTCTAAAAATTGGGCACTGGTTAAAATTGTTATTTTCTGCAGACAATAAGCTGCAATTTGGTGTGGGTGTGAGTACAGACAGACAGATTAAGTAAGTAAATTGAAAGTTTGAACTTGTTAATTTATGAACTTCATATACTAAACGCATTAATAAATTTATTATTATTATTTACACAGTCTGTTTATCAAATCAGTGTTTAAAATGTGCCATGTTTGTTTTATTAGGTGGAAAGAAACTAGCCCTGGTCAGTGGACCAGTGTACTTGCAGGCAACATATGGACATTAGGCCAAACTGATGACAAGATTATCTACAGAGTTTATGAAAAAGGTTACAATGGACCATCATTACCTCTGCCAGATCCTCAGGAAACAAAATCAAAAATAGAAATGAAAAGAGACACATCAAATCAGGGATGTGATAAGTTGTTGAAGAAGTCAAGTATTAAACAAGAAATTCACACATCTGACAATTATAATATAAATCTACCACTTATTGATAGTGATAATTCTAGCTCAAAGTATTCAGCAGTGCTTCAGAACTACTTTCAGCTGGGTGTAAACCTGGAAGATCTTTATGGTCATTGGAGTGCCTCGGATCCTCATTTTAAGGCAGTGGCAGCAGATTTTACTGGTGTACGTATTCTTCGCCAGGACCCTGTAGAGAATCTGTTTGCCTTTATCTGCTCTTCCAATAATAATATCAGCAGGATTAGTGGTATGGTAGAAAACCTATGTAAGACGTATGGAGAGAAAGTTGGAATACTTGATAAGGAACCTTATTTTACCTTTCCCAGTGTTGAAGCACTGACTGGAAAACAGGTAGAGCAGACACTGCGGGGATTGGGGTTTGGATACAGGTGGGTGTGCTGATCTGACAGTAATGAAAAAAAATTGGTATAAAATTGTGATCTCCAGATCAACTTTTGATTATTATTATTTATTTATATTATTTGATTATTATCATAAGTTCCAAATGCCATAAAGAAGTTATGGTACACTTTTTGATTTATCCAGTAAACTGTTACCATGTGTCTTGTTATCTATTAAATTTCACTGCTTTTTTTTCCTCAGATAAAGCTGACCATGACTATTGAGAGCTTGTAAATAATCAAATTCTTATATGATTAATTCACCTTCAATAGTAGAGAAGTTGAGTCAAATATGAAATTCAAAACAAAAAAATTATGTCTTATTAAACTAAATTTGTAATAAATCTGATATGCTTAGATGTGCCACATATTTTTA